CCTTTTTTTTAATTTTTAACATGCACAATTTCTTATCTAAAAGGAAGTAAATCAAAAAGTCTTTGAAGGAGGGGCTGGGAGGAGATGGGAGGAGGGGGTGGCAGACTGGGGAAGCTTTACTAATAGCAGAGGAAACGTCTCTCCTGCTTTCTAGTCTGGATATGTGCTGCTAAGTTCACCATTCTAGGAAGATATGAGTTCTTTGAAACTTGATGAATTGTTTTAGGTCCACCTTCTGAAAGACCCTGCAATTCACTGTATATTTGGATCCTCCCCTTGAGGATCACTGAAAAAGTGTCACTGTTCCATAATGTGGTGCTGTGGATAGTTATGGAGGTAACTCATTGCACAAATATTCTGCCAGTCATGTAGATCTATCAATCAATAATCATTCCATCAGAGTAGAGCTGGAAAGGACCTTGGAGGTCTTCTACCCCTGCTCAAGCAGGAGACCTGATACCATTTCAGACAAGTGACTGTCCAGTCTCTTCTTAAAAACATCCAAAGTTGAAGCACCCACCACTTCTGGAGGCCAGCTGTTCCACTGGTTAATTGTTGTCACTCTTAGGAAATTTATCCTGAATTCCATATAGCTTCCAAATGTTACAAGATACTGTAGGTATCCTCTAAGTCCAGTATGTTAATTGCCATGTGGCAAGACTCTAAATATTTGTATAAAAAGATTATATGATTCATTATTAACCTGTAATAATGTAGCTTAACCTTAACATGCACATGTGCGAGGAAGATGGCTGCCTGAGCTTTTCGCTCGGGGATGAAGAGAAAGGAAACTTTGGGGAAAAATGAGCCTCTTCTGTAGCCAGACTGCTGAAGGGCGAAGCCTGGGTAAGAGGATATTGAGAGGGTGCTGGAAAAACGAGCGCCTGGAGAAACGCTGTTCGGACGCCTTTGGGCAACGCAGCGGTGTCGGGCGGTGCTGAGAAGCCTGCGGGCGGCCTTCCCCCCCTTACAGACGGCATGGGTGGCGGTCTCCAGCTGACGGATCACCGCGGCTTGCCTTTCCTTTGCGAGACGCCGCGGAGCTGCTGGAACGTGAAGCCTCCCCTCCCTCCTCTTGCGGATGGTGGTTTCTAGCGGATGGCAGTTCCAGCGCTGTATTGGATTGCTGCGGCCCTGCCTTTGTTCTGCGTGGCGCCGTTGGGCCTTTGAACTGGGCGCCCCCCCTTCCTCCACCCTTCATCGTGGACGCAGCGCTCAGCTTTGGATCCGGATTGCCACGGCCCTATTTTTGTTTATGCTGCTGAGATGCTGGGTGTGCTGTCCCCAGGGGGGTTGGTGAGTTTGCTGCTGGGACTCCGTGGGCCGAAGGGTTAGGCTTGTTGCTGTTATTGCTGCCGACCCAAATGCACCCCCCCTTCCATCATAACTTTTTTGAATTCTTGACTATCATGGCCTGCCTCTCGGCTCATGTTGCTGTTGCCGCTGCTATCCGTGGTTGCTTTAGGAGCCCCCATTTTAGACACCTGACTGTCCTCGCCTTTCGACTGGCTTTACCCCCACCTTTACCCTCAGGACCAACATTCTGGAGTGAGCNGAAAACTAAACTAAACTAAACTAAGCTGAAGTCCACAAGTCTTAAAGCCAAGGTTGAACACCCTTGTCCTTGGAGGACATTTTGATGGTCATCCTGGATATCTTCAGCTCTCTTGCTCTAAGCGGTCAGTTATGACCACCACCCCTTCCCCCTCCCCCAAAAATTATCTAGCCATCACCAAGAATTGTTCTTGCAGTTTCTTTCCAGGCTCCAATGACTACTGTTGAAAAAACCACCACAAGACCTCAAGATCATACAAGCATAGGAGGCTCAGAAAATCAACTTCTTCCTGTTTCTTTCTTCCATTGCTAGATTTCCAAATTTGGATTGGTAAGATGGAGTCCTTCACAGGCACATGGCTTCAAACACCCCTGGATGTCTTTCTCATGGTCACTTTTGCTGCTATTCCTGAGATTTTATTTTAGAAATAGCCCCTGTTTTGTCAGCTTTGAGCCAGAGGTGGGTTGGCCCAGATTGGGCGAACCGGTAGCAATAGCGGTGGGAGGCTCCACCCACCTGCCCAGACGCTTCTGTGCATGTGCGGAAACATCGGGCGCATCCGCGAGCAGAAGCAAGCCGGTAGTCCCGCGATTTGCAACCCACCTTCTGTTCTGAGCCTATTTTTGCTCCAAATGTTTGTTGCTCCTTCGGCGATCAGCGAATCAAAAAAAAAAGTGTGACTTCCCCCCCCTTAAAAGATGGGATTATAAAGGAATAAGCCTTCCATTTAGAGTTTTAATAGTAAGTATCGTGTAGTTAGGCTAATCTATGCAAAGTGGATTGCAGACTCGGTATTTTTATCCGGTGCTTTTAATTAAATAAAGAGCCAATAATGGATGGGATTCGGGAATTCAAAGTCCCTGGGAAAATAGCAATAGCAATAGCAGTAAGACTTATATACCGCTTCATAGGGCTTTCAGCCCTCTCTAAGCGGTTTACAGAGTCAGCATATCGCCCCCAGCAACAATCCGGGTCCTCATTTTA